AAATCTATTATTGCATTTCTTAGTTCAGTCATTATTCAACCGAGGTAATTAAAATTATAATATCCTGATTTGTATATATTTTGATTGGTGTATATTGATGTCATTATGAATGATAATAGAAGCATTGCAAGAGTACATCCTGATAGCTTGCCAATCTCCAAAAGGCGGTTTGATCGATAAGCCAACAAGAGCACCGGACCACTACCACACATGCTATTGCCTAAGCGGTCTTTCCACTTCGCAAAATCACATAGTTTATGAGATTGAAAAGGAAATGGAGTCAAATAAAAAGCAGAAAGAACAAATTAATGCCGGTATGAGATCTTTATTATGGTCGGAGGAAATCGTGGATATCGTTGTTTTAGGCGATCCGGATAATCTTTTGGTAGGTTTTTATTATTTCCGTGTGTAACAAGTGAATGCAGTGATATTCCGCTGACGGTGACATCTTTACATTATGCGCTCAATAGAAAGCTACGCACCCAATTCATAACGTTTCAATTCCCAAGGTTCATAAAATGATCGAGTATTTTTATGAAACCGACGTTTACTCGTCTAATTAAGGATTTATATTAATAATTATCCCGTGTGATTTACAGTATCATATGTATTAATCGTGCTCGCGAAAAATCTATTATTATGTGACATTTTTCATTAATTGTACTATTTGCATTCAAATTACATTTCAACCTAATAAAAACTAGGTTTCGGACTCATTTGTGACGGACAAATCTGATTTGTTAATGATTATTGATCTGTTATTGATAAAATATCAAATTATCCCAAACGTTTATTACCTTTTCTGGTAAATACTCTAAATCGAAAATCATGGTGATAAAAATTTTTTTTTTATTAAAAAAAGCATACTCGACAAACAAGTAAACAGGCGATTACGTGACGTGTCTTCACGATTTATATAAATGCGTGATCCACCGATTCACCATTCGAATCATAATTTCATCGCCAAAAAAAAAAAAAAAAAAAATGCCTGAAACGAAAGAGGTCAAAGAGGTCAAAGAGGTCAGAGAGGAGTCGTCCCCAAAGCTTTTGATAACAGGAACACCCCTTCCAACACGAACTCACGAAGAATATCAATACCTGGATCTTATTCGTCGTATAATAGAGTTTGGCGAACCTCGTGAAGATCGCACTGGCACCGGAACATATGCTATTTTTGCTCCACCCCAGTTACGCTTCTCTCTACGCGACAACATAGTTCCGTTTCTAACTACCAAACGCGTTTTTTTGCGTGCAGTCATAGAAGAGTTACTTTGGTTTGTCAAAGGGAGTACCGACAGCAGATTGTTGGCCGAAAAGGACATTCACATTTGGGACGGGAACGGCTCTCGTGAATACTTGGATAAGAATGGACTTTCTCACCGAAAGCAGGGTGACCTAGGACCAGTCTATGGTTTCCAATGGCGTCACTTTGGGGCAGAATACATAGATTGCGATACAGATTATACAGGTCAAGGCGTCGACCAACTTCAAGAGGTTATCGACAAAATTAAGTTTAATCCGCAGGATAGGCGCATCATCCTAAGCGCCTGGAACCCTTCTGGTAACGTCCGGATTTCACATCCCGCACAAGTCTAGATTTCTGCGTTCACTTAACGAATCATTTTGGTTTTAATAGATTTAAAGAAAATGGCATTGCCGCCGTGTCATATGTTCTGTCAATTCTACGTGTCGAATCCAAATCCTGTGACTCATAAAAGAAGTTTATCTTGTCTTCTTTATCAACGTTCTTGTGACATGGGTCTCGGGGTCCCCTTCAACATTGCAAGTTATGCCCTCCTAACAAGAATGATAGCTCATGTGACCGGGACGTTGCCAGGAGAGTTCATCCACACCATGGGTGACGCGCATGTATACGCCGATCATATTGACGCACTCAGAGTCCAAGTCGAAAGGAAACCCCGGGAATTTCCCCGTTTAGAATTTAAACGTGAAATAACAAATATCGATGACTTTAAATATGAAGATTTTGAAGTAATCGGTTATAAACCTCACAGTCAGATTAAGATGAAAATGTCAGTTTAATGTTTGTGAGAGGAGACGATACAAAATTTACAGAAATGTATATAATGTTAATATGTTCTGTCGAATGTATTTTCTTTAATATTAGATTATCAAGAAAAGTATTTACAAAGCAGTGCTGGTGGTTTTTAGTATTATTAAAGAATCTCTTAGGCAGAGTTCTGTATATAGGAAAACTCACCAGGTTTACGTACTTATGCATCCCCATGAAAAATGTTTTTATCGAGTGATGGATGTTTTGTTAGCAATTCTTTGATCACAACCGGTGGATTCAATCCAAGTCGTTGAGCCCTTTCCCAACGATCTAACCTCCTGATTCCGATGCATGGACCATACTTATAATCCAGATCAAATTTTTGAAGAATTTCCTCGACCGAGAGTTCTTCCGGAGGGACTTCTCGCATTCAAGCAAAGAGAGGTCGGAGTTCGCGTGTGAACAAGTAACATCATGCGGAGAAACGGAAACTTAAGATTTCGAATGACTTAACTAGTACCTTCTATCTCGAGTGTCGTAAGTTGATTTGTAAATTCGAGTTCCTTTGACTCATTAGACTTGACTGCCGATTCACGAAGCTCATTATCAACTTTATCAACTGTGACCTCCTCCTTCGCGGCATCCCACTCAGCTGTCTTGAGGTTCTTCTTGGATTGTCTTACACCCTCAGATTGTTTTTTTGAAGCGGAGAGTATGTCAGTGAGTTTTTGCTGAACCATTTTTCGTGGAGACATTGACAATTCTGCCTGACATTACCAGTCGATTTGTCCATCTTTGTGAACGTCTGATTGGTCAGTTAAACGAGCGAATAGTTAACGCCCGATTTTGCCACGTGGATCTCCGATCCCGTCGATCTTACGACCCATCTGACATAGACCGGCTTGATAATTATGATGACCCCGGTAACCGATCACTGCTTCGGTTTAGTCCTGTTGCAATACAGTAATATAGTTAGTGGGTTGATCCACAGCGCATAAACTTTATTCAAAACATTGTTTAAATCCTCAATTCCTACTTGTAAGAAATGGCTCAATTGCAAAGGTGCATCCATCCAACGCCTCAAAAAATAAGACTTTATCGTTGGCGTTTCTTTTTGTTTTATGCATGTTGCGTGGAGAAAATCGACGATCTTGATCAACGTAACTATCACGAAGCATTGCTCAAATTTCAGAGCTAACTTCACCAAGGAGGTGATCACCCACCCCGTGATTAAAGATTATTGACGCGGATTTCGTAACGTGAGAATTGTTTTTTTTTTTTTTTTTTTTTTTTTTTTTTTCACACGCTTGTACATCAAACGCAAAATAGGTATAAATACTGACCCGAACACGGAAATGTGCATGATAAAAAAGGAATATGATAATTAAACTATGGATTCTCATTGAGGGGCACTCGAGTCCTCGTAAAATGTCGGTTAACCTATATCGAGTTTCTGACTTGGATGATCTTAAGGATATTCTCAAAGAGAAAATTCGAGTGTTAAAAGACGTCAGCTCAATAGATATAGTGTTTCTTGATGACAATAACAGACATATTCCACCGAGCACCCCTATACAACCTCTGGTCGACAGTAGGACAGCCAGATCTCCGCTTGTCGTACGTTATCCAATATCAAATTCGAGCAGTAAGTGTCAAGTAAATTTTCTCTACATATATTATTAAATGACTGTACTTTACTTAACCATCCTAATTGATTTGTAGTCGTCGCGAACCTCAGTTTTTCAAGCAAAACCAATAAATGCGAAATACCCCATTCTAGTGGTGCATGGTTTATTCTTCAAAATGAGGTTATGGAAAAGTTTAAAATTGACCTTCCGGTGAAAGAAAAAAATTTTTTTCTCAATTAAAAGAGACCCAAACGGTGAAGAAAGACCAATTGAAAACGAGTATCAATTGACGAATTTATTGGAGCGAATAACTCCGAATGTGTTCAACGAGCGTACTTTAGATTTAAATGTGCACATAAAGGGGAGAAAGTCATTCGGCGATTGGACTTTTAGAGAAGTGGCCGATGAGATTTATAATAATAATTTCGATCAACTTAATAAAATCCCAAAGTTTAGAATAGAGGACTTGCCCGAGTTAAGACCGCAGATAAGTGAAAAGGAAATCGAAAAACTTATCGGCCAGCTTAAAGATAAAGTCTCTGTGTTTGGAGGAAGTTTAAGTATAAACGAAGCTACCATGCGTGAATATATTTCGATTTTCATAACCGCGGCGGTTAAACACATTCACCAATATAAAGATTCGACAACGACTTTATATGTCAAGTCTGAACTTGATGGGTCCCGAGGCTATGGTAATTCGGACTACAAGATTGAAATACAAGAAGTTCCGGTATTGATTAATAGGATCAAGAATCAAGATGCTGTAAAGAGTGTTGCTCAAAGTTTGGTAAAAGTGTACACTGCAGCCGAGGTAAGATCTGAAGTAATTGACATAGACTACTTTCTTAAAGATTTATCTTATAAATTAACATCAAAAAATCATGTTAGAGATTGTCAAGGAAACGAAAACGTGAAGAACAAGAGAATTCTGGTTTTTCGCCCCCAGTCTTGTTCGGCATAGTGACAACGGGCTTCGAATGGCGATTTATTCGTTGGTCTGGTGCATTACAGCTTCCAAAAGTTGAAATAACCGACACCATTTATTGGAACGGCATTGACCAACAAGCAAAAAAGGTGGTATCACACATTGCACGATTATTACAAGCACAAGTGGATATTTTAAAGGATGAAAAAAACAACAATGTTGGGGATGAAGCACGAGATGGTAAACGTCACAGGAAGAAATAATTTTTTACAATCTGATCACGTGATAACTACTTGCGGAGATGGATAGTATCGTTCGTGATAAGCATAATATCTACAATCTGTTATCTCCAATCTTTACAAAGTATTGATCACCCTGCAAAATAAATGTGATTATACGCGCGCAATAAAAATCAGTTTATAACGAGAACTATCTAAATTTCCATTCGTGTATACATGTGTGAGAGAATTCAACGCATCATTATCACATACTCCCGTCACATTAACCCCCTTTTTGCGCATGCAACTCAAAAATATATCGATTTTTAAACGTATTATTGCGAGACGAATCGAATTCCACTTTTCCGTCCCACGTTTTCTATCCGGAGGATGTTCCATTTTCACGGTTTGATGTCCTTTGTTACAACTCCCTCAAATTGTAATTGGATGAGATGTTAACTACCCGAATCTACTAAACTCTTTGAAGAATTTATATTTATTAATGACCAACTAGAAACGCGTACTTTGGAAATTGACGGCGAACCCGTCAATCTCTTCGAGCTTAACGCAAAAGGAAATCCCATTGGACACTCACCTCACGGAAGTCACCATTGGAGAGATTTATTAGACAATTCCATAACTGGAATATCTATAACCGACAAATAGTGGTGTCAAGACGTCACAAGGAAGGGTTTATGTTCAATGTTAAAGGCCGAATAACGATTAGAACGCCCGATGTTTCTTTTACGCCTAAAGCCATATCCCGTCAATTTAACTGAATTACAATGATTTACGGATAACCTTTTACTCTCACTTTCCTTGTCGAGGTTGACGACACCGAAAAGTAGATCAAATTTTGAGGAGTTGAATCATAAACTTAAGCGTGAACACTTTGCAATTAGAACAGCCATACAAACTCGGTTGACTAACCGATCCTAAAACAAAGAATCTGGGATCGACAGGAAAATGTCTTTCCTCGTGAGCATATTTGGGAGGTATATAGACGGTGATAGTACTCTGCCAGGGTTTACATTGAATATTATGATGATTGAAAATGTCATTTCTTAGGTACGCCGTCATTGTTTATTTGTTTATTATTATTATTACTTATGCAATAAATTCGTATACTTCGATCTGCTATAGAAGCCAGCACCGACAGGTACATCTGAAAGCGAGGGTGCGTTAGAAATCCTTTGCCAAGAGTGTAATGAAAGTTTCACTGAAAGTTATATTTTCACGAGACTTTATGAAAATAATCGTGTTTGCAGGAAAAATCATGAAGAGAGATTGGAAATATGGTGACATATTATAGTCAGTATCGAAGCGTTACTTATCAAGCTTGCAGATCGTGTCTTTTATATATACTGGGATCGCTCTTATTAAATATCACGTGATGGTCTTCATTTTGCGCGCCTTGTACTTCGATTGCAGATTTACGAATGATCTCATAACATACTCTTATATTTCGGGTAGAGTGGATCACGTGTTTGAAAGCCTAAAATGTTATTATATGCATGTACACCATTTCTTGTTTTATGTTACTGAAAAACGCGTTTCACCCTTATTCTTTAGAACAAAACCATCAAAAGATAACCATCGACCTATGTTTCGGAGAGACATTTTCCATTTTTACCTGTTTAACACTTCGATTATATGACTGGTCTTGTCTACACAAAACGCAAGTCATGTCACATCGTCTTACTATAATAAAGCGTTGTTGGTTCGCTCATGACAATTTGCACATCGCTACTGTTTGAAATTAATATCTTTAATAGAATGATCCCATATTCCATCTCTCTCGTAACCGCCTTGCATTCTCAATTGTAAAAGATCTTTTGCTTTCTAATACGGAGATACCTTACATTTTTTATGTTGTTAAAACCTTACATTTCCCACATAACATTCTAACAGAAACAAACAATTATTAATAGTTGAATTATTTGATAATTAAATATTTTATTTTAGATGCAATCAAGTTTTTTATGTGATCTAATACTATAAAACTTCAAATATTAAGATAATTTGATTTGAATTTCTATATATTTTATTAAAAAAAAAAAAAAAAGGATTATTTGCAAAATATAAGAGTAATTTATATATATATATATTTTTTATTGTTTTTTACTTACATACACCGATTATTATTGCCGTGCTAATTAATTAAAGCTTGTCACATTTTAAATCAATTTCAAATAAAAAAAAATTTTAACAAAAAATGATAAATACAGTTTACAAATAAAGAATATCTCGAAAAGATTTTTTATTTGATTACGTAAATAAAGAATTATAAAGTAAAAAAAAAAGTTTTGAGAATCAGTCCCATTCTTGGATATTTGGAATTTTCTGTAGCACTAGTAGTCCCTTTTACTAGGTCCTCAGGTTTCCGATGGGGTGACACGAGCCACAAGGTGGATGGTTCCATTTAGGAACCGTCTTATTGACACTTTATCTGGTAAACAAGAAGGTCTGTATAGTTTAGGATAAATTTTCGCTCTCGGCTACCTCATAACCAATAAAGTACGGCTTTGCCAGCGTTAAAAAAAAAAGAAAATAATAACAATAATCATTCGCACATCAAACTTAAATTTGTCAAAGTACAATATATGCAGTATTATACAAATTAAGGTTAAAAAAATTCTAGTACGCACGTTTTCAAGAAAGATATTATCTCTGCTTAGAAAAAAAACTCAATATTAAAGATAAAGAGAAAAAAAAAAACAAAAAAATATGTAAATGATCAGCGTAATGCTGTACTGTGCGTACAATATAAAAATAACAGCTCTCCGACGAATAAACGATTTTTTTTTTTACATTTTCTGAATTACAACTATTTCATGCTTTCCTCTATATTTGCATATTGAAAAAGACGAACATAAATATTGAAAGATTATTGAAAATTCACTAATATGGATGAAGCATTGATTCTAGGATATTTTTATCAAAATGGAATTGGAGTCGAGAAGAATGAACACAAGGCATTCGAGTATTATCGAAAATCAACCGTGAAGGATGGTGTTAATGGATTGCTTCCGGTTAGCTATTGCTTTGAGAAAAGAATTAGAGTTAAAAAAGACAGCCGTAAGGTATTCGAATATTATAAAAAAAAAGGCTGAGATAGGTGATGCTAATTATGCGCATGTTGTTGGAGTTTGCTATCGTCATGGAATTGCAGTCGAGAAGGATGAACATAAGGCATTCATATATCATCAAAAATCAGCCGAGAAGGGCAATGCCGATGGTGTATATCAAATTGGTTATTGCTATCAAAATGGAATCGGAGTTGAAAAGGATGGACATAAGGCACTCGAATATTATCAAAAATTAGCCGAGATGGGTAATACCAATGGTGTATATCAAATTGGTTATTGCTATCAAAATGGAATTGGAGTCGAGAAGGATGAACATAAGGAATTCGAATATTATAAAAAATCAGCCGAGATGGGTAATGCCAATGGTGTATATCAAATTAGTTATTGTTATCAAAATGGAATTGGAGTCGAGAAGGATGAACATAAGGCATTCGAATATTATCAAAAATTAGCCGAGATGGGTAATGCCAATGAACATAAGGCATTCGAATATTATCAAAAATCAGCCGAAATGGGTAATGCCAATAGTGTATATCAAATTGGTTATTGTTATCAAAATGGAATTGGTGTTGAAAAGGATGAACATAAGGCATTCGAATATTATCAAAAATCAGTCGAGATGGGTAATTATTATGGTGTATATCAAATTGGTTATTGCTATCAAAATGGAATTGGAGTTAAAAAGGATAAACATGAGGCGTTCGAATATTATCAAAAATCAGCCGAGATGGGTAATGCTGATGGTGTATATCAAATTAGTTATTGTTATCAAAATGGAATTGGAGTCGAGAAGGATGAACATAAGGCATTCGAATAT